GCTAAGTTGGGTCAATTAAGGTTCTAAAGGTCACTTAGTGCTTATGACACCACGCGACAGCCTAGTATTCTCCCTGATTGACTCAAGGGACACTAGTACAAACCAATGTGTCGCACTAACATTGCCATCACTTCAACCATATCGGTATATGCCGTATAGTTTCCATGATCTATTGTTACTTACCTAAAATACCCTCAGATCCGGGTGTAGGGTCTTTGCAAGAAAAGTAAACCCGAGCAACCCTCAAATGTAAAGCATACAAAGAAAAAAGGAAAGCATTTAAAAGTGATCTAACTCTAAAGGTAACCCCTCTTTTTAGTAGTATCCCCAACAGAATCGTCAGTTCTGTAATACGATGGAAGAAATGACTTGGTTTTGTGTTTTATCACAAATGCCCAGATAGCTAGAGCCACCACCGACTTTTCTTTTATCCAGTAAGGAAAGGGTAAAAAGAACAGGAAAGACCTTGAGATTACTGAGTACGGGGGGTAGGTTATGAAAAGGGAAGGTGTTAGCACCCTCTTCATCAGTAGTTATCAATGGGCTCTTAATCGCTTAACTCACTTTGAAAATTGCTTTGTGTGTGTTGTTTGAAAAAATGTTTTGAGATTTGTCAATGTAAGGCGAAACTTTGTAATGATTCTTGTATCGGTCCTCAAGAATGCGTACAAAGCATTTTGAAAATATCTTTGAAAGTCTTTGTGAAATGTTTTGTTTTTGAAAGGTTTGTGAGCAAGCGATTAACAGTTCTACCCACTCAAGATCTTTATTGTTATTTTACTCCTCCTTTAGATAGTGCTACCCTACCATTAGTTAGTAGGAAGCCCTATCATTAAATATGAAGGGGTAGGCGCGGGTCATCGTACAGTCATAGAAGGCAACCTGTAAGGGCGCGCTAGCAATTTTCGTAAGGGACTAGATCGTTTACCGAAGGCAACATCGAAAGGATCATCGAGGGACTACGATCTTTGTTTTTGAGGGACATTGCTAAAGTGTCCCCACGTTCGAGGGACATGACTGTTTTTTATCGAAAGGCAACAAGGGAGGTTACCCTAGAGGTGTGGGTGTGCAAAGTGATTTGTGTTTCGAGTATTGTTTATCTTTGATTAAGATTAGCTATCGTTTGCTTTTAATCTTACCATACAGTCCTATTAGCTAACAGTAACAGTAAAAATAGGAAAGCGGTAAAGTACGAAAAATAAATGTTCCTACGCTATTACATGACTTCGGGAATAGGGGGTACAAGTAATAAAATATGGGGAAATAGAAACCCTAATTATCTATTATAAACCATGAGCAGTTACATAATCGAAAAAATGTGAAAATAATAAACTACGCGAAAATGTAAAATAAAAGGAAAAGGTAAAGGAACTTGTTTTTGTGATTTTTGATAGAAAATAGGTTTTGATGATTAATCTAATAACCTAATTAATTTTAATTAATAAAAAAAAGAAATTGATTAATTAAGTTAATAAAACCTAAAAACCCTAAATTGATTTTAATTTTAAAAAGGGTTTAGTGAAAAACCTAAAAAACTAAATTAATTGATTAAATAGAAAACCTAAAATATTAATTTGTATTGATTAAATAAAAAACCTAAAAAATTAATTAGAGTTTATAAAAAATCAAAAGTTTTAAAGAAATTTTTTGTGAAAATAGAAAGAATAAGATAAAAAAAGAGTAGAAGAATAGAGAATTGGAAGAAAAAAATAACCAAATGGCCAGGGGTGGGTGTTGAACCCACGCCCTCTGCACTTTCAACCAACAAGTTCACCACTAGGCCAGGCGCGCCTTGGTGTCAAGGAATGGCATCAGTGCGATTTATCATCTGCAAAACAAATAAATCATAAAAAACATCAAAATGCCAAAAGACTGGGATCGAATCCACGCCTTGGCATAGTAAGTTTTTATCGCGCGCGCTTCAACTACTGGGATGGTAATGCATCTGATATTAAAACTGAAATGAATAAAACAAATATTAAATAAAACGCATGGACTGGAGAGACGTCGGAGCCCTAGCTCCGGCCGTCTTCTCCGATGAGTCAATTTCATGTTCCTGCAAAATAGCACATATTAGAGATCCAGGGGGTCCATACCCCCCTAAATCAGACCCTACGAATCCAATAGGAGGGTACTTTTGGACTGAAACGGAATGATTTGATAGCTATGTCAAAAATACATGGGATCGGTGTAGTTATGGTGTTTCACGATTTGGCCAGCATGGGACCTCCACGATGGTTCTATCCTGCACTATCAAACCTCAGAAACACAGTGATATCATCAGTATGTCTTAGAGAAAACGAAAAATAAAAATACGATTTTGGAAAAAGTATGAGATCAGAGATGTATGTGATGGCGTTTCATGAGCTTTGGATCATTAGATTTGATTCATTCTTACTTTGTAGGATTGTTGGGAGTGAATAAGCCAGTTTATTTGCAGTGAAGGAAGTTGTAAGTAAGGTTTTGAGTTGCCCTAGCTTTGAACAATTTTTGAGTTTTTTGGAGGTGATTTCTAGCACAAGGGTTCGTGGATTTTGTGTCTGAACAATGAAGATTATATAAGGGTGAAATTAGGTCAACAACATGGGCTTGGACCTTTGCTAATAAGCCTTGTATTTTGTCTTATTCATTTTTGAATTAATAATGAATAAATAAAAAATTATTAAAATAAAATAGATCAAGGGGTATATGACAAGATCTAAGGTGCATAAGGAGTATAGAGTATGTTTGGACTCTTAAATAATAGCCCAATAGCCCAAAATATCAAATTTGCTCAACTTGAACTTCATGCATTTGCTCAAAATTTCCCAACTTTCACTGACCATAACTCTCTCAATTTTCATCCTTTGAAGGTGATCTTGGACTTTTTGAAAAGCCCAAGGTGTCCTCTACAATGTTGATCATTTTTGCATTTGAAGACTTTATCTTAGTGTAAGTTTCCTTGACAAAAAGTATCTTTTTGTTGACTTTTGAAATGACATATAATATATTGGCTCATATCTCTCAAATGAAGCATTTTTTGGACTTGACTTTAGAGAGTTAAAGTTGTAGAGAATTGAATTTCATTTAAAATGAGCTTTGGTTGAGAAAAATATGATAAAGTGTGTGAAATTTATGCTTGGTCAAAGTTCAGTTGACTTCTCTTTAGGAAAATCTTAATTTTGTGACTTTTAACTTTTGATGATTTGAGAGTTTCCTTGATGAGTCATGATCAACCCTTTATCAAATGATGAATATGACTTCAAAATATTGATGTTGACCAACAATATTGAAGTTTGAATGTATGTTGACCACAGTTGACTTTTTGTTCAATACAGTTAACTTTCAGTCATCTGAGCAATTGAATGAGCAAACTTGTGATGCAATGCTTGAAATTTGGCATGAGCGTTCCTTGAGACATATGAGAAACCATAGGAACCACTTGAGGCCTTAGAAACCCAAACTTTCTTGAGAAAGATGAAACCCTAATTGTAAGTCCATTGCTTAGGAGAAGAATTTGTCTGATCAATTCTTGAGCAACCTTGAGCATTTGAAACCCTAGGAGAATGACTTGAGGGATCTGATTCTATTGGATCAATGAGCGTTATATCCGGTTGGATCACTGAACGTGTCATTTTGTGTTAGTCACTGGTTGTTGCCTGAGTATTTGTAATCAATTTGGTTATAGTGGATTAAGTCCTTGTTGAAGGCGAAATCGTCCTTGAGGGGGTGGACAGGATTAGCCTTGTTTAAGGTGAATCTGGATAAATCCTTGTGTCCTTTATTCTTCATTGTCTTTACTGTTATTATCATTTAAGTGCTCATAATTTCTAAAGGGGAATGTTTTCTATAAACCCAATTCAAACCCCCTCTTTCTTGTGTTTTCTCTACCTTCAAAAATTATTTGCCCATTATCAAGAATTGGCTAGAAAGGATGTGGAACAGATATTTGGAGTGCTTCAATCTCGATTTGCAATTATATGTGGTCCAACGCGTGTCAGGCACATGAAAACCCTTAAGCATATCACATATGCTTGCATCATATTACATATCATGATTGTTGAAGACTAATAACACACATATGGAGGTGATTTTAATTACTCTTATGATAATGTAGATAACAACTAAAACATTTAACGATTCTCATTCAAGTCTTACAATAAGACGACATAGAAGAGCAAGTCTTCATGAAAAATAAGTTCATCGTCAACTTCAAAGAGATCTAGTCAAATATATTTGAGAACGTTTGGAACACAAGATTGACGAAATTTAAATTTGACTAAGTATGTGATGTTATTTATTTTTTTTGTTTTTAATTATATATCATATATTTGAGATTAACTTTAATTATCATTTTAAATTTTAAATTTAATTTGAATTTTATTTATTTTATATTAATTTTGGTTTAAATAATTTAAATTACCATTTAAAAAAATATAAATAAAACATTAATATATAAAATAAATTTGTGGGACTCCATATAAATTCTTTAAAATTGCACAATTAAATTAAAGTGAAAATTGAGTGAGTTAATAGATCCACAAAAACCAACTCAAAGATAGATAACACCATCAAAGATGCTCTTATATTTAGTTGTGCAGTCATTATGTATTGAACATGGGAACATGATTTTCTTGTATGTCTATATCGGAATGCAATGAGCATTGAAGTAACATGTCTTTACACCAAATCAACTTAAGAACTTAGGTAATGTATGTATTATTGAAGTAAATTGAAACAACAAATGCAGTGGAAATGCAGTGGAAGTGCATCTGCATGAATAAAATAACACCCCAAAAAAGGAAAACAATGGAAGAAGAATAAATCTGAACTACAAGAAAAAAAAATCAACCACATCTATCTAGATTTCGAAAAATCTTTCTCTAATGGCACTTGACGGAATTTCATGTATATGTTTCCGGCCATTTTTCGCCCATTCTCTTCATATTATAGAAGGGTAACTTCAAAAAATATGAATCCTATCACGCCCGCTCGAAAAGAAACAGCGAAAGGAGAAAACGTTACCCTAATGAATTTATAAGGTCTTGAAAGTTGAAAACTAGCCAATCAGCTTTTGCAGCAACGGCTTGTCGAAGTTGAACACCAGCGTAGCAAACGAACAAGTCGGCACCACCTGGTCCACGAGCCTAAATGTGCAGAAAAAAGCATACAAATTATCACAAGTGAATATGTTATTCAAGAAAACCTAACAATGACACAACTAGTTAAATTTTGATTAAAAAAAAGAAAGTTCATTCATCTATGATTTATCAACTATTTAAGATCACTATTGATCTTTTTGAGTGAAATCTAAAAGCTGTTTCGTTAAATGGACGCGAGGAGAAGTGAAAGCAACGTTTCTAACAAATAAGGGTGATCCGCGTTTGTTTAGAAATTAGAACAAACGACGTACGTGTTTATCTTTTAAGCAGATCTCAGAAGAAGTGAGTGTAATTTTTTCTATGTAACCCAAGAGTCAAATTTTCAAAACATAGGATTGAAAATGAGATATTTCACAAAACTACCTGATAAAAACCAACTGATATATAAAGAAAATAGGGAAAATCCCTTTGATTTACAGAATAATACCGCAGAACTTTGAGGGTCTGCACCTCTCAATGCCAAAATGGCCCATTTTTCTATGCAATTCAAGATGATCAACTCCCCAATGTCTTCTCCTATTTATTTTAGGCCTAAACACTCTAAATTAATATTATAATAATTCTAATAATTATCCACTAACTCATAATAATTTAATAACAGTTACGAAGTTGAAGAGTCTAACAATATTCCCCCCTTAAAGATTCACCTTGTCCTCAAGGTGAAAGGAATACACAATAGAAAAAATGTATCCTCCTGGATCCCATAACTTGAAACATAAAGGTAGAGTTGTACATGAAATAAGAAATTTTCCCCCAGGATCAAATTTGCTTGCTAATGGCGGTCCTCTCGTGACCACTTGTTGTGGCCACAGTGACACCGGTAGTGGAAATTTCTTGTTCCTAGACTTTATCTTAGGAAATTTCTTGTTAGACTTTGCATGTGATGAAATAGCCAACTCTCTGTCACTTCTCTGGATCTTTGCTTCACTAGCGGCCATCAATGAATCTGTATTTTTCACTTCGTCGCTCTCGCAATCAGATTTGATACCACTTTACAAACTTCTTTTTCACTGTATTGTTGGATTTGTGAGTCATCAACTTTCCCACCAATCTTTTCTTCAGCTGGTAATGCTATTGGTTCCTGAATTTCACTGCTGCCTTGGATTTTCTGTGTTTCGTTTTCACACTCCAGTAGACAATCCCAAACTTCTGGTTGGAATTTCTTGAGAATGGCCTTTACAAAATTCCACCAACAAGTATTTGGATGACTCTCCTTCCAAGAAATCCACCAATCAATAGCATCTCCTCTCAATGCAAATGCAACAGCCCACTCAAGCTTCATCTCTTCACTCATTCTTCTTGACCCAAAATATTGCTCAGCTTGGATCAGCCACCAATAGGCCTCCCTTCCATCAAATCTTGGAATCAAATCTGCAGCCATATTCATGCCAAAATTTCCAGCACACTGACAAAATCTCTTTTGGATCAGAATTGTTTTGATACCAGTTGATAGAAACCAACTGATATATAAAAGAAAATAGGGAAAATCCCTTTCATTTACAGAATAATACCGCAGAACTTCGAGGGTCTGCATCTCTCAATGCCAAAATGGCCCCTTTTTCTATCCAATTCCAATATGATCAACTCCCCAATGTCTTCCCCTATTTATTTTAGGCCTAAACACTCTGAATTAATATTATAATAATTCTAATAATTATCCACTAACTCATAATAATTTAATAACAGTTACGAAATTGAAGAGTCTAACACTACCATGCGATATCCGATATCTTTTCGTACCTCGAAATCAGTAGCACCATCCCCGATCATAGTTAATGCTTTGTATCCATGATTCTGAAAATTTTCATGATCAGATTTACAAGTAATGTAATAATAGTTCATAAACTTAACAAGTACACGGCTAACCTTCTTGATTTCTTGAACTGCAGTGGCTTTTCCTCCACTCCTTGATGTATGCTCATTTTCATCAAATCCCAGAAACTGTCCAGAGCTTCCGAAAAGTAGTTGATTCGCAAAAATGTTCTCTTTTGGAATCCCGAGTATAGATGCAACAGGCTTCATAAGAAGTGTGTTAGTAGTTAGAGAAAAAACCAAACATCTAATCTTAATGCCGTAACGATATAAATATTAGAAAGTATAGACAAGAGATGCAAAAATTTTTTCATTGTTGTGAAAAATAATTTCAAACTTGCATGATGGTATAAGAAAGGAATGGAATAGTCTTTTTTTTAAATCGAACATAAGATTTTCCGCCTTTTAGGTAGGTCATTTACAATCCTATGTTCATCAAGCCACTCACACTGATTCCACAATCTAAATTAGAATGGAGATTCAGTCCTCTTCTGCCAGAAGTGTGTCGAAAGAAATACTATTCTAATCAATAATATCGCAACATGTGTACATGTTATGTTGACAGATTCTATATATGCAAGGATTGCACATACCGGTTATACAACACTGACACATAGACACCGGTCCGGTACTCATTTATTAAAATGAAAGTAGTTGATTGTAACCACAGGTGTCGGACAGTAACATGCCATCAATCTCAAGTGTCGGTGCTACATAGCTTTTTAGTGGTAGTAGTAGTAGTACACCATGAATTCAGTGTTGTAGATGGCGGAGAGCCAAAATTCCACCATACCGACCGCTTTGTGGCGCTGTTATAGTGGATTATGGCAGAAAAATCTGCAATATCGGCCGATATTTACTATAGGGCGAATCCATAAACAGCCATGTATATCCGGAATCGCCACTATTTGATAACACTGCATGAATTTAAAGAAAATGTCTACAAATTCACACTATAACTAAGTAACTACTGATATCCTCTTAGTTGGAAATAAATCAGAAAAAATATTCATCAAAATAATCTCCATACATTGATCATTTGACGAAAGCCCCCGGAGATCAGATAAACATGCTTGCGATTAGCTTTTAGTTTCTGAATTAACTCTACAATGCCAGGAGAAAGCCTGCATATTAAGAAGAACCATAAGCAGTGTTCCAAATATGTCTGTTCTGAATTGATCGGTTCGGTTCAGGATAGAATTGGATAAACAATCTTGAGAAAGAAGAGTAAAGAAAGCAGGCAGTTATCGATGATACATAAATTAACCTTTTGTCACATCAAAGTTTTGGCCGGTCTTACAAAAAACTAACATGGTTCCGTAAAGCTCCTGTTATATAGTAGAATCTAGGATAAGATTAGCTTCGTTACGATACGAGTTTGTAGTACTAGCAGGCAGCCTCACATTGCATTTAAAAGGGACTGATTCCATAATTTGTGTTGTCAATGATGGACTGCAGAAAATTGAAGTTGTTTGAATTCTACTACGCTACAGTTTGGTAGTTAATGATAGACTTTAAAACTCTAAGGCGAGACGAATCGGGAGAATCGAAACTGCCTGATCAATTTTTGCGATAATGAGTCAAATCTAAAGCAAAATACTCCTAACTAATGAAGTCACAGTGCTTATTATCAAAATTTTAAACCTTCTCAAAACAAAAAACACTGAAGACAGACACTCAACAAAATCAACTAGCTCGGTCACATACCTCGGTGGCCTTAGCTCAAGAAAATTCTGAACTTGAGACAAAGAGGGATTGAACAAAGATAACCTAGCAGCCAAGGCTTCTTCGAAAGGAACAGAACCACCCATCGCTCTGCGAAAATTCAAATCTTAAATCAGATATCATAAATAAATAAATAAAAACATAAACACTTTATCTGAAAACGAATTTCCATGATAACAATCTAACCTAGCTGTCCATTCTGCAACAGCCTTTCCAGCCCCACAAAACTCAGCAAGCTCGTCAATTCCTTCATCTAAGCACACAGTGCTATCCACATCAAAACACACTGCATCACCATTCTTCCACAGCTCCAGAATTTCTAACCATCATCAAAACAGAACACAATCACAATATTTTCACATAAAATGCAAAAAAATATCGCAAAATCCCAAAATTTCCATTTCTTTCGCCTGGCATTGTGTTTTACAATCACCGAATATTAAAAACACTTTTTTTTTTAAATTTAAATACTCTGCACAAACACCATAAATTATACACATTCCATCGAATTTCCCTTATCTAGTCAAACTTCCCAAAAACACTCACCATGGTGAAATTTTATATACCAAAACCAAGGTTTTCGACAACGGTTTACCGCGAAAACGGTCACGACAGAACGGTATCAAAAGATGCTGATACTGTTACTCACCATTTTTATGCTGAGAAAAAAAATCAAACAAAAAGTCATTGTCGTTAGACCGCGACAAAAGGCCGTTACGGCCATGAAACCAGTCCCTGCACCATTTAGGACGCAAAATTTTCAAAAACAGAATACGAAAGTATGTATCACAAGATATTCCTCGATCAATAATGCAACACATATACCGACCGAAATCATGAAAAATTATTCCTCAATCAGTAATGCAACACCTATACGACCAAAATCACGAAAAAAAAATAATCCTCAATCAGTAACGCAGCACCTATACCTACCAAAATCACAACAGCCTTTACGTGACTGCAACATCAAAACCATGAAACATAACTAACTTAGTGACGATTAGATTATTATTAAGCATAACAACTATGCACAATTTGAAACCCTAACTGACACTATTGTTAAATTCAATTCTAATTAATGGTAGAGTGAAAACGAATAAAATTTTGAATAAAAAGATACAAAAATGCAAGATTTATGGAAACCTTTGGAAGGAAGAGTGTTGGAATTTCCAACAGCAGCAGCCATAATCAAAGTCGAAAACCGCTTCTTCTTATTCACACCCCCAATTTGAAATCCACGAACACCCTTTGTCAGATTCGGTTCTGATTGAACGAGAAAACGAGATCGTTGCTTTGTAATGGGAGTAACACGAATTGGGTTGATCCCGTAACTCATCAAACCTTGCATGTTGTTATATGTTTTGACAATTATTCTATAAGGAGACAAAAATATGTTGGATCTGTGAGAGTGAGGTTTTTGCGAAACGAGAAGGAGAGAGGGTTGGTGAGGTCACTAACTCAACGTCTCACTAACCAATGCGAGTGTCATGAGAAATTAGAGTTGTTTTCGTCGTGTTTTTCTGAAGCTATTATTGTTATTTGTAAGAATAAGATTTGGTTTTGTATCTGTTTTTTAGTTTTGATTATAACAATATATAAGTGATTAGATAATAATTTAGTATCTTAATGGTTTTATCTAATTGTAGTTTTTGCTAATAGGTTTTGACTCTGAAGATATGATATGTGACGTCAGTAGATTTTGGATTCAACACACTGAGTGATAAAAGTGCGTGTTACAATGATCATAATGCTTTTAAAATAACGGTTCTTAGGAACGGTAACTTTTAAAGTTTATGTCTGTGACTCTGATAGTAAAGCTTCTGAAGGCTTTTCAAGCTCTGAAGGTTCTAGGCTCTCTTGCTATAAGGTTTTGATGATTCTGAAGACAAAGTGATGGTGAAAAAGTTCTGAAGATTGTGAAGACCAACGTACTAAAGACTCTGAAGACAAGGTTCTGATGGACAAGTTTTGAAGACTCCGAAGACAAATATTTTGAAGACAAGTTTTGATCCTTCTAAACATACTTCAACTCATACATATTTTGAAGCTTCTGAAGAATATAAGATAAAATCAAAAGTTTTTACGTGAGAAATAGTACAAGATCACCTTCTTCCACTACTATGATTTTGTGGCGAAAGGACTGTACTATTGGTATGATGTTGTCTACCACTCACACTAACTGTTATGCAAGAAGACAACTGGAATTTTGGAATTTCTATTCAACCCTCCAACATATTTATTTTTGGCTATAAAAGGAAGACTTTGAAGAATTGATAAAGAACTTTTGCGTTGAGTTATTCTACTAAAACATTGTTGAACTTTCATTGTAAATCTTTTATAAAGTTTTGTAAAGCACGAAACTTTTGTTCGTTAACTTGTTAGCAAAAAAATATTGTTCGCTAACTTGCTTCTAACACTGTTGTGTTATTTATGTGTATTTTAACTTGTGTAAATCTGCTTTCTTAGAAGCATCTTATAAACACATAATCTTGTATTCAACCTTGGGTCGATAGTTCCTTGAGAGACTAGGGCTTTAGTTAGGATTCTCAAGAAGATATTGACGAGTAGTCTTTGTGGTTGTAAATGTTGACGGGTAGTCTTTGTTTGTGTCTGCAATCAGTTTGGTTTTAGTGGATTAAGTCATTATTGAGAAGGTGAAATCACCTTGGCGGGTAGACTAAATTAACTTAGTTAACAGTGAACCAGGATAAAAATAATTGTGTTCATTTATTTTTGTTCTTATGTTAACTTCGAGTGTTTGATTTCAAAAAGATTTCATTCTTAGAAACTTAATTCAAACCCTCTTTCTTGTGTTTCCCGCACCTTCAATTGGTATCAGAGCTCCAGTTTTGATATTGATTGTTATCAAACACTTCACCGTGTCAGATAAACATCCAGAGTTTTTAGAAACATTATGGCTGAAATCCCTTCACGAGCTACATAGATTATTGAAAGAGATAATTATGGTGCCAATCCTCCAATATTTGATGGAGATACGTTTGACTACTGAAAGGATAGAATTCAAAGCTTCTTTCTTGGTCATGACGTAGATCTCTGAGATATGGTAGTCGATGGCTACAAACATTCAATAGATGTTAGTGGTAACAAAGTGGAAAGAAGAGTGATGACATGTCAACAAAAGAAAGAGTATAAGAATCATCACAAGGCTATAATTATATTGCTGAATGATATCTTCTATATTGAGTACGAAAAGATCACTAACATAGATATTACAAGATCTATTTTTGATTATTTGAGAATGACTCATAAAGGAACTTTCCTTGATTCAGATGTATGAGGCGTTCAAGATGGAAGATGGTGAAATTGTTGAGAACATGTTCTCAAGGTTTCAAACTCTTGTTGCAAGACTGAAGGTTCTGGGAAAAGACTATTCTACTTCAGATCACGTGAAGAAGATTATCACAAGCTTTCCAGAGAAATTGAGGCTTATGGTAACTGCACTCAAACTTGCCAAAGATCTGAACAACACTTCTCTTGAGGAACTAGTTAGTTCTTTGAGAACTTATGAGATAAAGCTTAATAAGGATGAGCCTAAAAAAAGGAAACTGTGTAGCTCTTAAACCAAGTGGTAGATTTGAGAAGACTAGAGCTTTTCAAGACAAATAGGAAGAAGAATTTGAAGAAGATTCTGATGAAGACAAAGATGAGTCGTCGCTCCTGTCCATAAGGGTTAACCAACCCTGGAAGAGGAAGCAAGACAACAAGTTCAGAGGAGCTAGAAGAACAGGTGGTCACTTCAAGTCTACTTTTGGACAAAGGAAGTTTGGTGACAACAAAGATGTCACTTGCTATAAGTGCAAAGAGTCATGTCATTATAAGAACGATTGTCTTAAGCTCAGAAGGACAAGCCCGAGAAGAAAGCTTTCAAAACAAAGAAGAAATGGTTGATGGAAACCTGAGATGATTTTGATTCTTCAAAAGATGATTCCCAAGAAGAATAAGCTAACGTTGCACTGATGGCAAGTGTTAAGGCTTCTGATGAGAAGATCCATCCAGAAGATGAAGCAGATTCTGATTCAGACACATAAGAGGTATTTTTTTACCTTTCTCATTCTGAATTAACATCTTCATTATTTGAGATTTTAGAAAAACATGAGTTGCTTAAGATTGAATTTAAGGAATTTAAAAAGGTCCATGAATTTGTTTCTGAAGAACACAATAAACTTAAGGAAGAATTTTCATCTTTGAATGAAGAAAATTTTATTCTTAAGAATGATAACTCTGCTCTTAGAAGCAAGAGTTCCAAACTTGAGAAGGAAATTCTTTCATGAGATTTTGTGAGCACTGATGATGTCATGAAGAAATATGATAAATCTTTCCATAAATTTCTTGCTAGAAGCCTAGGAAGAAGCGTCATGGCTTCAATGATTTATAGCGTAAGCATAAAGGGTACAAAAGGTATTGGTTATGATCCTTATGGAGAATTTAATTCTGAAAAAGAAGATAAACCAAAAGCAACATCTTGTTTCAATCATGCAATTAAATATGATTATCCCACATCTAAGCCCAAAGTTGTTAACAACTCTAGAAAGACTAACAAAAAAGGATCCAAGAAGTTGTGGGTACCTAAAAAAACATAATATATATTGTAGATATCCTTAGTAACAAAGTTAGGACACCAGTCATGGTACCTAGACTCTGGTTGCTTGCGACACATAACGGGAAGAAGGAATATGTTCCAAAGCCTGGAACTTAAGCCTGGAGGCTTTATGGGTTTCAGAGGTGATCAAAAAGGGAAGATCATAGGCTCAAGAACAATTGGTAATGGTTCTCTCTCTTTTATTACTAATGTTTTGCTTGTTGATGGATTAATGCATAGTTTATTGTCCATAAGCCAATTAAGTGACAATGGTTATGGTATAATCTTTAATCAAAACTTATGTAAAGTTGTTAGTCAGAAGAATGGCTCAATCCTTTTTAATGGCAAGAAGAAAAATAACATCTATAAGATTAAACTTTTTTTTATCTTAAAGAGTAAAATGTAAAATGTCTTATGTATGTTAATGAAGAGCAATGGACTTGGCATAGACGTTTGGGCTATGTTAGCATGAGAATAATTTCTCATCTAAATAAAATTGATTTAGTAAGAGGCCTTTCATATCTAAAGTTCTCTTTAGAAACTCTTTGTGAAGCATGTCAGAAAGGCAAGTTTTCAAAAACTTCTTTTAAGGCAAAAAATGGTGTTTCTACCTCTAGGCCTTTGGAGCTTCTGCACATTGACCTGTTTGGATCAGTGAAAACTACGTCATTCAATGGTAAAAAGTATGGATTACTCATTATTGATATAGCAGATACACATGAGTTAAGTTTCTTAAACACAAGGGTCAGTCACATTATATGTTTACTACCTTATGTTCTCAAGTGCAAAATGAGAAGGATCTCAGAATTGTCAAAGTCAGAAGTGATCATGGTGGCGAGTTTGAAAATAAAAATTTTGAAAATCTTTTTGATGAAAATAGTATTTCCCATGAATTCTCCTGTCCTAGAACTCCATAATAAAATGGAGTTGTAGAGAGGAAGAATAGGACTTTGCAAGAAATGGCCAAAACCATTATCAACGAGACTAACATGGAAAATCACTTATGGGAAGAGGAAGTCAATAACGTATTACATTCAGAATAGAGTCTCCATAAGACCTATTATGGGTAAGACTCCTTATGAATTGTGGAAGAAGAAAAAACTCAACATTTCATATTTTCATCCCTTTGGATGTGACTGTTTTATTTTGAACACTAAGGAGAATCTTAACGAGTTTGATTCTAAAGCACAAAAATGTATCATGTTAGGATACTCTGAACACTCAAAAGGCTACAAAGTGTATAACACTAAAACATTTATTGTTAAGGAATCTATTCATGTTAGATTCGATGATAAGCTTGACTCTGAAAAGTCAAAGCTAGTTGAAAAGTTTGCAGATTTGGAGACTACATTTTCAGACTCAAAAGGTAATGACGCTGTGAAACAACCGGCTAAACAAACCATCAAGATGAAATCAATGAAGTATCAATCGAATTTTTTTTATCCCACAAGAAGGGAAAGGTAAACATTGAGTAAACTTGAGAAGGGTGAAATCACGATCAAACGACCGAGAGATCGGGTAAGGGAGTCACTTACGCAAGGGGAAGATATTAGCACCCCACACGCCCGCAGTACTCTACGGTATCCACTCTTGTTGTTTATCTAATGGGTGTGTTTCAAATCTAAGCAATAGAAGACCAAGAAATGTTACCGTCAAAAGTGTGATAATGCATGTCACTTGCTTCGTGTTCCACATACAACCTTCAAATAACTTAGAGTACAAGTAGATTAAACAAGCGGCCTCCAGTTGTACTAATGGATCTGCTCAAAGTCCTAAAAGTACTGCATGTACATGACATCCATATAAGTGGCACTCTTGTCCACAAGAAATGATAGTGCCAACCAAATACAACAGGTTTGCTCTCATAGCATAATTTCTATGATGCCCCGCCTGCTCGACATCACCATCAGCCTATCATGCTCTCTCTATCTCATTATTAAACACCTTCTACAAATAGTTAAACCTAGCATGAGCTCTACGGGTGCGGTCAAGCTCCCGTATGTCACTCTCTAGGCCAGCTCCTAAGTATTCTCTCATCAACTCCAGTGCCTCTTATTTGTCACACCTCCCATGATCTAAAAATCTCCCCATAATCGGAAGATGAAACAGACACATGACATCGTCTAGTTGATAGAAATCTCATCATGTGGCAGATGAAATGATGACGTCTCTGCATTCCATCTCTCTACAAAAGCATTAACCATACCATGGTTAACTGTAGTATCATCAATCTTGCTCAAATCACACAACCCTGATAGCTACAAAACTTCCTAAAACCACGACTCATTGGGATCTTCCAAACGAGTGATCTTCCACATATGGTTGATAATTTTTAGCGGATCACGTTCCTACATATAAGGTTTAATAAGAATGGTTCAAACAAACAAAAGTTAATAATAAAACAAATACATGTTTAAATGAATAATCCCAACTAAATTTTACCTTTCTGTCCCATGTATGTTTGACAACATGGTTCAGATAAAGAGGTAACAATGATAAGTTTGACGAGCCTCCTCCAAAATCCTGAGGTGCCACATGTGCAATCTTACCCGCATAGGTCTGTGGAGGTGCTAGCTAAGACTGGGATGCCTATAATGCCTCAGGTGCTGCCTGTGACTGTGATGCCTCAGCTGCCGCCGGTGTGGTCTAAGACTAGGGTGCCTCAGGTGTCACCTTGGATTGTGATGCCCATCTTTCCTCAGGTACCTGAATATGTGAACTCATGTGTCTACGTGAAGATGGAGGCAGGGAAGCATAAGTAGAGGACCCTCACATGTTACGGGAGGACGAAGAAGAATGTTGTAACACATGGGCCCTGAAACCTAACACCACTTCCACATTAACCTATCTAAAGGTAGAAGGAGTCAACGATTTCCGACTCTTTTCCATCCGAACGAATGCATGTTGTTCAAGCCTGTCGTGTCTCAACCGTGTTGGACTTTCATCCATAATTCCTGCAAATAGACATGACAAACATTACACAATGAGTTTGTTATAAAAAGAACAAAAACATTGCAAACAAACTGCTTACAGAGATACATGTCTGATTTTTGGATAAATGTTGAAAATTTTCGGAGATGCATCTCTGGAAATTTCTGCAACTTCAAGCACCGTCAATGGTAGAATGCAAACCCATAAAACATCAAAAAAATTCATTGATCTTAAAAACTACTTAACTAAATCGTTTCTCAATAGTTCTAAGCTATCAAACACTATTTGTTTTATTTCATAACCTGAAACTCGACTTCTACACAAGTTTACATAAAACTCAATAAACTTTAAAAAAAACGTACAATTTCTCTCTTCAAATTGATTCTTGTTGCTCAATGATGTTTGATGAAGTTTGATGTTGTTTGATAAAAATTGAATGTGTATGATAAACCGGAAATGTATCGAATATTTGGATCAATTTACATGAATTTTATCTGCATTTTAATTATTTAAATTACTCTTTATTCGTATTATGCTGGTATTTTCTATATTTTCAGGAATTTGATGTTTGCAAGGCATGTGCGAAGAAAGTCAAGAAAAGTCGAGCTAATCGTATTTAAAATCCGCACAAAGAAAGAGCAATTATGCAATTGAGGGGTGTGTGGAAGAATAAGGTGCATTACAAGTAAAAATCTCTGGAATAATAAAGAAGAAAGAAACGCTAGGCCCAATCCACCCAAGGCCCAAAGGAGTGTAACGACCGTTACACATTACCTAGCCCAGGTGTAACGACCGTTACACCTTGCCACACTAGTCCTTCCCCAAAAGCAGGAGTGTAACGACTGTTACACTGAGTCCTTCAATCCGTAGCGGTCGCTACAGAGGCAAATTCGGAGGAGAAAATATCTCAACTCACTGTGCGTCTCCAAGCCTATAAATAGGACCTAAAATCCCCATTTTGAAAGACGTTTTCTTTTCTCTATTTTTACTGTTACTCTACTGAATATTTTCCGTATTATTTCTTTTCGTTTATTTTATCGATCCGTGGGAGACACCTGAAGTCAGCCAAATATTCTGCCATTTTATTTTCCGGTTTAATTTAAGTACTTTATTTATTTATGCCAGGATTGTCTGAAATGTTTAGTTTATTTAAATTGTTTAATGGTAGTTATTTCTATTGTGTTGTTATTGAATTGTATAACATGCTAGGCTAAATTTATTTATCGGTATGTAAGATCATATAACAAACAGGGTTTAGCAACGACAATTGATCAGTTCCTTTTAAAAAAGAATGGTTTTCTGGTTTCAATTACTAGTTCTAAATATTAATTATTTTGTTACGAGAGTAAAATACAGATAGAAGTTAGGATCAATAAAACGAGAGTTTGAGATAATAACTGGACAATGGTAATTATGCATCAACTTAAAATACAGCAAGAGCGCTTTTAAGTTGATTAGGTTTTGTTTGTTTTCAAAAACTATTTTTAAACTCTAATTGAAACAGCGAGAGCACTCACTTAGGTTTGATCGTAGGATCTGAATTAATAAACACGAGAGTGCGAGAAGAGGATTTTCAAACAAATACTTCCTACTGAAAACTGTTTTGTTAATCCGAGTTAGGTCAATGAGTTGTTAAATCCCCGAAGTCCGACCATTACATACCGATATTCTCCCTTGAATCTAAACTAGATTATAATCAGTTAGGTTCCCTAATCCCCCTATTAATTACATTATTAGCCTTAGATTTACGTAGTAACCTAAGATAATGCTAGTTCGACATTTAGCCCATTGGGATTCGATAATCTTTAAAGCTACACACGATAGGACTGTATACTTGCGGTCTAGATTCTTTAAGACTCACAAAGTCGCGACCAGTGTATGAGTGAATTTGAGAAAATAGGGTTTGAGAGAGTTTGATAAAATGGTTTTTTGAGAGAGTTTAAGTAAGTGAGGAAGTGGAAAGGACTCTGGCGCGTATTTGAATGAATATTGTCTGATGATGCATCTAGGTAACTATGTCGAAGATTAATCTCCAGAATATCTCCAGAATAATTTTGCTTGAAATTTGGTCCTAGAAAATATATGGACTGAAGTTGAGTGCGTCTGAAGATGCATCTATGTAATGTTTACGTAGATGTATCACCAATAAATTATTTTCACTGATTCAAAGTCTTGTTGAATCATGTGTTAAATTTTGGTGTGTCTAGAAATATATCTTCAAAACTTAAAATCATAAATATATTTTTGCACTGTTTTGCACTTTGCACTATAAACACATTTCTTACATTAATAAATTATCAATAAATATCACCAATCCATATGATACCATAAAGACCCTCAAACTCACCGACCTTATAGAAAAGCCTTATCAAAGAATCTCCCCAACTTTACCTCTAAACACTCTAGATACAAAAATTTCATTGTTCATTATATAAACTAGATAATTAAAATACATTATATTTTTTTTTGATCAAACTATTTTTCTTTTATAACTAATACTATTTAGAGAAAAAAGAATATGTTCTGAATTCTAAAATATGTTTACACTATCGATGTATTATTTTTAAACTCATACTATAATTTGTTTAAAGACATAAGTTAAGAAAAAATTAAATAGTTAGACTCCAATGATAAAATAAAAAATATTGTCCAATGATAAACTTTTTATTTTCAAATTGTATATTAAACTTTTTTAAGAAATGAAATAAAAAATATTTATTTTAGAAATTGTATATTAAACTTTTTTAAAATCAAAATATATTGTCCAATGATAAACTTTTTATTTTCAAATTCTTTAACACGTGTCTAACCGTCCAAAATATCAAGAGTCATCTTTTACTTCCTTCACGTCTTTTACTTTTTTTACTTCTTCACCTTTTTACATCAAAAGGTAAAAAAAATTTCTCCACCTTCCTTCATAAATCTCAGCGCGCTCTTTCAAAACCCTAAACCAGAAGAACTTGCTGTTTCTTGATCAATCAATCAATGGCAGCTCAAAGCTCTTCTTCCAGTAAATCACAAGTTTCCAAGAACGTTTCTCATGACCATTTCTTCGGTACTAATCAGTTTCAATTTCTCGGATTTTTGGTTGAATTTTTCATGTTCGTTGTTAAATGCTGTTGTTCGATATTTCTTTTTGCTGCTTAGTTCTTTCTGATTAGGTTAAGCTTAAAGAAATTTGTAGATTTAGTTAAAGTGATTTTCTGTTATGAAATGAAACTGAGTTGTATGAGTATGTTAGCTGAGAATTCTAATTGATGAAATTAAGTTTGGTGTGTTATTTGTTGTTGTGATTTTAAGTCTAGATGGATATCAAGTTTATCACTGGAATGTTCTTGCATGAGGTCCAATGTTATGCTACATGGAAATGTGGGATTTAAAAGATAGGGTAAGCTAGATTTACAGTGACATTCAATGAAAATCAACTCATTTCTGTACCTACATTTTTAAAATTGGTATTATGCCATGGAAAAATAGAGGCCTCTCATTCCCTGTAACACTGGCACCTCTGGAGAAAAGCGTTTCAGTGTCCGGACACTGACACTGACACAACACCGACAATTGTGGTTATGTTCAATTTATTAATTTTTTCAAATTATTACCGGTGTCGATGTGTTAGTGTCTGTTGTGTCGGTGTCTGGGTCGGTGCTTCATAACCCTCATTTGATGTCAGTAAAAGACTGATTTACCCTGATGGTGTATGACTATTAAATTGAACTTTTCTATTACAATCTGATTTTTTAGGGTTTTTGTTGGGTAGGAGGAGGGTGATGATTTTTACTTAAAAAATTTGCTCTCTCAGGAAGTGGTGCAATTTACAACCCTACAAGTTATTTGGGCCTTTTAGTTTTGTGATACACATATTTTCTCTTTGCATTAATGCCGAACGTCCTGTCCTGCAATTTCCTTTTTCTGTCTTAATATGAGAATAAAGTAAGTGTACCAGAGATGAGGATGTTGCGTTGGATGTGTGGTAAGACTAGACATGATAAAATTAGAAATGACATTATTAGAGTGTTGGGGTATCATGTATAATAGAAAAGATGGTGTAAAATAGACTTAGGTGGTTTGGGCATGTAGAGAGAAGACCTGTAGATTCTGTGGTAAGGAGGAAGATCCAAAAAACTATAAGAGAAGTTATTAAGAAAGATCTCAAGATTAACGATTTGCCTAGAAGCATGGTCCTGAATTAAATATTGTGACGAAAGTTGATCCATGTAGTCCATAAGGCTTGGTTGTTGTTGTATTCATCTGTCCCAACTTTAGCCTGACTATTATTGGAAAACAAACTGGGCATAGCATTGTTTTATCTTTCTAAATTTTATGATTATAACTAATTTTACTATATTATGATATTGCAGTATGGAGGGAATTTGTATGGGGAGCTGTTGCGGGTGCTTTTGGGGAAGGAATGATGCATCCTGTAGATACCATCAAAACACGAATACAAAGTCAAGCTATTCTAAATGGTGTTGAGGTATAATAACAACCTATAGATATGCAAACTCAGTTTTAAAATGTTGTGTTCAAGCTTCTGTTCATATTCTAATGCTTTTCTCTTTTGTTGGGAACATCATTTGTCTGTCAGAACCAGAAAGGCATATTGCAGATGGTGCGGTCTGTCTGGAAGGTTGATGGATTAAAAGGTAAACTACTTTGATGATTTAATATTTTTGTTCCAATTATGGGTATTCTGTTTTTCAGTTATGAAATTTCTTCATGTAAAAGTGACATTTAGTGCATGCTTTGTTTTGCTTATTTTGCTTTTGAAAAAACCTTCTAAAACGAATCGGAGGGTAAAATGATGCAAACCAAGCATGCTTTTATATACATGACTAATAACTTAAATCTAAAGTTAATTTTTATCTCAATGATTCTTGTTATGTAGACTTTGGATTTCAATCTTGAAATATGATTGCCTTCTGATTGATTTAAAACTGTTTAGGCTTTTATAGGGGTGTACTACCTGGTGTTACTGGGTCTCTTGCGACTGGTGCAACATATTTTGGTGTCATAGAGTCAACTAAAAAGTGGATTGAGGATTCACATCCTAGCCTTGAGGGCCATTGGGCACATTTCATTGCTGGAGCTGTTGGTAAGCTGATTTTCAGCATCTAATAGTAATAATAATATTTTTGTAGTGTTCATGAATTTACACATTTTGAGTCACTCGGGATGTGTATGAAAACAGTTGTAGTGTAATCTGTCTGATGATTGCCTCAATGCTTTTACTCTTGTAATGTTTGTGATTTACTGTTTTCTCTTCTGACACATTTGCCTGTTTATTTTCAAAATTAAGCTGAAATATTTCTCAGTAAGTTATAGACTTGTAGTACACCGTCTAAGCATTTCATTTATGAAATCTGCCGTACTTTTCTTTATATTTTCAGGAGATACACTTGGTTCTGTAGTGTATGTTCCATGCGAAGTGATAAAGCAGCGCATGCAAGTTCAAGGCACAATTACATCCTGGACTTCTACTGCAATTAAGAATGGCATTGAAATAAAACCTGGTGCAGAAATATATGACTATTATAAAGGGATGTTCCATGCAGGCTGCTCAATATGGAGAACACAGGGCTTAAAGGGTTTATATGCAGGGTATACACTAGAAACTCTAATATCTTTTGATGATGTAATCTTGATTTATATAGTTCACTAATTTTTCAAATCCGTCTTTTTCATTTAATAGAATTTTAAAAGCACAACACTTGACTATAAGTAGTACCCTACCCTGGGCACCAATATGTTATCCTTTTCATAATTTGTTTTTCTTGTTTTGTTTATGTCAGTGTGAGTAGAAGATTTGACTTCACGATTTGCGATCCACAAAATGATTTTACAAATATCTGATAATGCTTTTAGAGACGAATCATGATATTTTACGAAGAGCAACAACAGTTCACTATTGGATTTTGTAGAATGCCATTTACCTAATATTACCCGTTGAATCATGTGCAACTATGCATGCCAATTTAGATAAGTTAGAGCTTCATATACATCTTATCAAATCCGTATTTTACTTTTGACACAAAGGAGTTCAGCTATTCTTCAGCTGTTATAAAGTTGTATGAAATTTTGTAGGCTTGATCTACTACATGAAAGTTTTCAATTCAGCAGTTGAATAGAAGAAATTCAATTTCACAACAATTAGACAATATAGATTGTGATTTTGTTGAAAAAATTATGGATTGAAGACTTGCACATGGGATAACTAGATTCTCGTGCGCGTGCACGCACATACCCTTATTAAATTCCTTTGTAGCACCGACACCTCTGAACAAAGGCGTGTCCGACACATGTGATTATATTCATTTTTCAAATTATTATCCATGTTGGTGTAATGTCCATGTCTGTGTCGTGTCTGGCATGTCCGTGTTGGTGCTTCATAGTTAATTTCCCAACATTTTATTTGTTTCTTTGGTTTCATAATTTCATGGATGATTATAATTTGTTATTTTGCTTGATTTTGCAGATATTTGTCTACACTGGCAAGGGATGTACCATTTGCTGGTCTGATGGTATTATACATAGCACATTGAGTTTACCAGATTCAGTGTTTGTGTGTTTTAACTTTTTTTTTTCATGAATAAATCACTTTTATATAAAGATTTAACACTTTAAACGTAATTAGGGTGTGTTTTATGGTCTATTTGTTTAAAATAAAAAAATGTGATTATCAACTTGTTAAGGATTATATTTGTGAACATCAAAAGCTTTTTTCTCTCTCATCTATGACATTCATTAAGCAAGTATGCCCCAACTATTCTGTAGTATGTTATGCTCAATATTTTCATTAGATAATTTAAACGCTCTTATTTGGTCCTCTTTTAGTTTAATTGAAAGTCCATTGTCTGATATGACTAAAGCCTCTTATGATCTGAAACTGCCAGGGCTCAGTAGGTGTCTTGGCTAAACTTTAGAATGGGTTAGGATAATCAGAAATTTAAGTAACTTTTAGAATAGGTTGGGACAATAAAAAACATAAGTCAAGAATATCTTTTATGATATGTCATAGAGATTGGAAATGGATGCATTATTCAAAGTTAAATTTTAGTCTTCATGGGGCTAATCAATCTTATGAGCTTATCCATACTGGAACCATCTTTTATTGTGATGCACTTTCCTTTTTTAGGGTCTGATTTGTTAGCACTTGTTTAAGCATTGAATAATTATGTAAATTAATTTTTTAATCTTAATACCATTGTACTGTTAAAACCAAGGAAATAAACTAGAATCTTAACATGTAAAAATAACTCTTTTGTGAAGTTTGTTTGAAATGATAAATCGTGTATGATTTCAATTCATATGCATCATATTGCCTTTGAGAATTCATCATTTTTACATCCCACTGCATGTCATTGTATTTCTATCCCATTTCAAATGTATTTTGTTCAACTGTATAAAATGCAAGTATGATCCAAACTCTGCAATCATGGATGTATATGTAATTCAAATCTCGTGTAAAAAAAGGTTTCTAGAAGTAAATTATTATAGCTTTGTAATATTTGTTTAAATGTGCTTTTGAATACCTTTCATACAATTGTTACAGGTTGTATTCTATGAAGCTTTGAAAGATGCTGCAGAGTATGGGAAGCAAAGATGGATATCTAACCCAAATTGGCATGTTAATAATTCTTTTGAAGGACTGGTTTTAGGAGGATTAGCTGGTGGTATGTCCTGTGCGGGGGTGGATTCTCTCATGTGAGAATCCACCCAGTCAACTCTTGGCCTTAGAAAGACGTTCTTAAAATATATAAATAAGAGAAAGATGGATTTGAATGGTTTAGTTAAATGTTTTCTGTATCATTAATATTTGTTCAAATGATTAAACAGGTCTCAGTGCATATCTCACCACTCCTTTGGATGTCGTCAAAACTAGGCTGCAAGTTCAGGGTTCAACTTTGAGGTATCAATTCTTTTCCATTACTATTCTAACATGCTATTACACCATTTTCTTTAATGGTTGTTGTTTGGAACGTGTCTGCTTTTGCACAATGAAGTTTATTTTCTGGTGTATTATGAACATCTACAGTATAATAAGGATATTTACCTGTCTTACATTTTTCCTTATCTTAAATTAGTAATGATGAAAAGGGCTATTTTGTGCATTGGGAGTGGTCATGTTTTTGATGGACTAAAGCTAAATTGATCGTAATTCGTTTTATATATTATATTGTACTATTAGGTATAAGGGTTGGTTGGATGCTATCTACACTATATGGGCTAAGGAAGGCTTGGAGGGGATGTTTAGGGGAAGCATTCCCAGAATTGCATGGTACATTCCGGCTTCAGCGCTTACATTCATGGCTGTGGAATTTCTCAGAGAACATTTTAATGAAGGAGTGCCCAATGGTAATTTGAGAGTAAAAAAGAAGAAATCTTTGCAGGAAGCTACTTAAAAGTTGTGTCATTACTTCCTATCTAGACTTTTACAAAGATGGGATGCTACATCATATCAAAATTCTTAGGTATGCAATCTACTTTAGATTCTCAATAGTTCTAACTTGTAACAAGGAAGTTATAGTCAAAATGCAAACTATGACCAAGTCAAATTCGGTCTAGCCCATTTTTGATCGTTTAGTTTGACTCATCTGTCGAATTAGTGAACAGTGACTTGAGATTTTTTTTGGAAATTTGGCTTCCGGAATGGCTTAAGGTGATAATAAAATGTATATATAAGGATAGATAGATACACATCAATATATACAGAATTACTTTACACATCCTAGTTATTTGAGGAAATATAACTTGGTTATGTATTTGTCTATATTTTCGAGTAATCGAATTTGTATACTTATCCTATTATCTAAACATGGATGCACAGTCTGCTTCAACTCCTAACCTATTCTTCAACCAGATTATAGGTCAATTCTGATAATTAATAGGGGAGGTAACTCGCCACAGATGGACAAAATTGTTTTTAAAAGACAGTTGAGTGGAAAATTTAAGCTACCATGGTTTTATGTTTCTGCTTATGCTTGCTGGTTTTGCTACATTAAAAATAGATAGTAGTGGATGCCATTACTTGTCTTCATAATCATTTTCTTTAAGCTTTGCAGTGAATGCCATGACTTGTTCCTTCAATTGAACTTGCTATATAAAAACCTCGTGCTTTCCCTACTAATCCTGATCCCTACTAATGATAGAAAGAGTTTCAAAGCAGGCCATGTTTGTTAGTTTTTGATAGTTTGATATTTGTGTTTTGATGAGAAGATAGAGTTTGGGGCAAGTATAAACACTAAGACTTGAAACAGCGTGGTAGAAGTAGTGTATTACTCCCTCCGGTCTTTTTTATAAGAAACACTTTACCTTTTTAGATTTATTGAATAATTAATGTACCTGGTCTGTAAACAGTCTAGATACATTAATTATTCAATAAATCTAGAAAGGTGAAATGTCTCTTATAAAAAGGACCGGAGGGAGTATTAAACAAGAAAATGTTGGAGTTGATGAGAGGAGTTGTTGCTTATATATGGAGTTGTTATCTATCTCTTTGTAGTAGTACGTATAAACAACAACAAATATTGTGACACTGCATAACAAGCTAAAGAATAGAACCTATTCCGCATTGGTAAACCTCATCAAGTCTGCGCCATTGTCTGCTTTAGGTATGAGAATTCTTACGATTTTGTTCTTTAGAAAAGGCACTTCGTTGGGTTGAGGCGTTTGTGTGTTGTATATATATTATCTTTAGTCTTGATTCTCAAGTAATGTAAGACAATTTTAGCCAACCCGAAACAGAATCTATTATGTTGAATTTTTGTTTTAATTTTAAAAGGAAATTAATAATGATGGTAAAAGTAATAAAATTAAAATTCTTGTCCTGTATATTTTAATTTTTTTTATATGTCGAGACAATTTTGAAATTACAACTCTCCCTATTTAAATATAACTACTGAATAATATGATAAAGACAATTAACTATAATAAAACACAAGAAATCAGATTTTGTACTTCAAGATGTCAAAGGAAACATGTATAAGCGGATAAATTTGTACTTAGATTGATAAAAAAAACAAATAATGTGAAAACATATAAGTTTGTAATGCTAAAGTAAATAAAATGGTGATGCGAAAGCAAATAAATTGGATATGTGAAAAGCAAATAAACTGATAATATAAGCAGATAAATTGGTAAAGCAAAAGCACACAAATTACATCTGAATTAGTTATGCAAAAGCAAATAAATTGGTTACGCGAAAGCTACTAAATTAGTTTATGCCAAAGTAGATAAATTTTGTTGTAAAAAGGTATGTATAAATTGTGAGTGCAGATGGCTTAACTGAGCTATAAGTTTTGATTGTGAACGTGATCACCAGCCATTAGATGCAAGTGCATGTTTTTGTTTTTTTTTGTGTAGGCGTGCAAAAAATATTTGAACAAATGGTGGTTTAAAATTCAATGAAGTCGTTATTAAAATTTATTTTTTAAAGTAAACTATAATCACCAACTTTATCAAAAATCTATTCTCTCTATTTGATTTTTACTTTACTTTCAAGTTTTCCTTTCCTTGGCATTCTCTTTTACATCTTACTCTTTTGGAATGTTTTTTTTTTTTAAAATCATTTACTCTGGTTCACTTTTCTTGATGAGTCATGATAGTTATGATAATGTTTAAAGAGAAACAAATGACTCTAATATTTTCAATTCACATTATTTCCAAACTATTGGTGTGACGAAAATGTATGGCTGTAAAGTTATTAAATTATGTTTGGAGTATATGAATGGTAATGATCTTTTAGAAGTTTGAATGCACAATAAAATTAATTGAAAATAGTTGATAAGAAAGAAACATAACTCCTCCGTTCTAAAGGAGTAACTAGGAATTTAAAAAATTAATGATGAAGATAATTAAAATCGAATTGGACTTTATTATAAATTTAAGATTTTAAAATTAGATTGAAGTTGAACTCTATTTGAACCGGTCATAAATAAAAAATATTTATTTATATAAGAATAATAATGTACGAGAATAATTATATTTTTAAAATGATATAAGAAGTTTATTGATAGTTTCATGATAATTAATATTTAATAGTTTATTTAATTTTTATGTTATGGTGTTTATGGTGTATGTTATGGATAGATCTCTCGTGTGATTGACCTTATTTTGTGCCTATTTTTAAAGTAATTGTGGAGTTTTTTTCAGTAGAGTTCAAAATTCCTGTTATTTATTTTCGCTATCATAAAAAAAAATACTTTTCATATATTTTACCGGGGTTTTTATTTTTCTGGAGTTACCAATCTTCACTAAATGCTTTGAAAAAAAAAAAGAAAGAAGAAAAAAAAGTTAAAATCGCTAAATCTCACATGAGAGATCTATGCCTAAGCCGAAAAGATCACACTTTTATACTTAAACTTTCACTAGTAGGGTAATCCCTAAAGCTTACAACTTAATTATTATGCTTAAAAGCAATAACATTTATTGTTAATGCACCGCATGACAAAAGGATCTAAACATCTACCACCTCTCCAATCCCCACAATCATATGCCTCATTGCAAGTAACAGGAATACCCATGAAAGTAATGCATGGAAAAATATCTGTAATGTCCAAAATTAGTAAAAGAGAGTTACTAAAAGAAATGAAAGATTGTGTTTACGATAAAGAAGAAAAATTAAAATGAGTGTGTAAAAGGACATACCATCACTGAAAACAAGAAGAATTGGGAAAAGAGAGATGACTGATGCATAATATTTTTTGAGAACTTTAACTATATTTTCCATTTTATGCATGTAACCAATAGAATATATTTTGATCACTTCATAAATAAAATACCTGTGTTTTGAACCCTTAAGTAGTTGTTGTTAAAACCATTGGATAATAAATAAATATTTTATAAGATAATTATTGTTACTAATTGCCTCTTAAGTACATAAGTTTGCAAGTTTATCTCTATAACTCACTCAATTGATCACTTGAATTTATTAAATATGTCACATCAAACTTTCATTATGTATTAATGACAAATTAATAATATTAATATAAAATAGTAAGTTGCAAAAAAAGTTTCTTTGAGGGGTGTGAGGAGATCCTAAGATTCTTTGGGTTTAGTGTTAACATGTTTTTAAACCTAAGAGTAGAGGGGATTAGGAGTGAGGGTGTTGAATCTGTTCATAATCTTATAATTTTTATTTATATAAAAATCAAGAATAAAATTTTAAACTAATCCGTATGAGTCAAATATGCCATTGACTCACATCTCTTAAATCTATATCAGAATTCAATTAAAGAATGAAAGCGGAAGATTTTCTGAGTTTGTCATTGAAAACGTCGAAGGTTTGTGGGTATGTAATCTTGTGATTTGTAGAATTTCTTAGGGTTCCTTGAATCTCTTCTGAGGGTGATGAAGAGAGAATCCTAATGAACTGTGTTTTTTTGTCTTCTTTACAAATGGGGATCATTGTAACGCCCCGATTTAATTAGAATCATTTTTAATGAAATAATAAGGTGATGTGGTGTATTTACATAAATAGGTAGATTTTATGATGTGGTGTGATGCCTTTGTTGAGGATTAGATGCATTAGAATAATGAGAGTTGAAGTTATAGGAGTGTATGGCTAAATGTGTAGAGACATGGGGGGTGTGTAGTATAATATGAATTATTACTATTATTATTATTATTAGTATTAGGATTATTATTATTTTATAATAATAATTAAATAATAATTTAATTGGGATAGTTATATTATTATTGGATTATAAAAGGTGAGAATAGAGAGAATAGAGTCAGAACGTGAAAAACAGAAGAGAAGCGTAGAAGTGAGAAGAGGAGAAGAGCACCAGGAAGCTAGAGCAAGGAGATTCACCGTAGGAATCAAGAACCGACCAAAAATCTAAGGTAATGAGGGGATTCTAACACTATAATGGATTGCCTAATTATGGGGTATGGTAGAATTTAGGATTCGTTGTTGTGTGTTTGATTTTCTCTCTAATTGGTGTTTTTGGGGTTTTCTCCCATTGATGAATTTTGATGTATTTTGGATGATTGATTATGAATTTGTTGATGTGTTTTGGTTAGAAACGGTAGACTCGAGTTGGTGAATAATTAACATGTTTTTAGAACAATATTTTGGTGGAAAAAATGAGAGTTTAGGCTTTGAAGCATGAAAAATTTGTATTTGAAAAAATGCAGATTTTTGACTGTCATCGTAGGGTAACGGGTTACCCAGTTATGGTAACCAGTTACCACATCAAAATTTGGAAAATAGAGTCTACTGTAATATGCAGTAACCAGTTACCGCGAGAATTTTGAAAATACAGGGTTACTGACTTTACCGTAATCGATTACCACTAGAGGGTAACCGATTACCATTGTAAAGTACATAATTTTGGAAAAATTGAAATCTCCATAAATTTCGCGTCGGGCGTTTGTTTGATGTGCCGTTTGGACCGTTCAA